GGGGGGGGGGGCGAGCATATACATATATATATATATATATATAGATATGTATATGTATATATATATATATATATATCTTATATACTTATTTACTTATTATATTTGTTTATTGTATTATATCATTGCATTGTTATTATAAATAGCATTATATCATATAGATAGATAGATTGGGGGTAGATGATGAGCCCCAGCCTTGGTACTTGGGTTGAGGGCTTCGGTGTTTGGGTGGTAGTTCTGAACTACTATTTGGGAGTTTCCAAAAATTAGGGTACCTTCTTTTGGGGTCCTTATAATGAGGGTCCTACTATTTAGAGTTTTCGGAAACCCCCATTTAGAGGGGTATATAGTAAACCTTACTTTGTCTGGTAGGATTGAGATGACGGGTACATGGCAAACCCCTTCCGTAATGGTTTCAATAATGAGTAGTTTTGTACGTTCATATTTTCTGATTTTTGCATCTTCCGAAAAAAGCCGACGATTGCAGCTTAAGCCCGAAGCCCTACGCCCGATATTTTAGATCCTAAAGTCTAACCTTACATCCCCTGTAAACCCTAAACCCTAAACTTAAACCCTGAACCCTAAGCCCTAAACCCTAAACCCGCCTTGAGGGACTACTTTCCGCCGCATATGGAACGCCGCGTGTACGACTTCGTGCACCTCTGCGGCAGATCCGCCTTCACAACTTTCTCTTAAGAGTTTAGGTTTAGGGCTTAAGGTATATGGGGTTTCGCCCCATAACCCGAATTTAGAGGCCTGAAATACTGTAGAGTCCATGTATATTTCTTCCCCATAGTATTCTTCAAACCCCATTCTTCAGGCGTTTAGTGTGAACCCTCCTAAACCCTAAACCCGCAACCCTAAGATCCACGATTCCTTGTCAAGGTCGGGCGGAAAGGGCCTTAGAGTTTAAAGCATCACCTTAAGCCTCCAGAAGCCTACCTTTTCCGGGACCAAAATAAAGGTTTAGAAATACCAGGACCCCCCAATGGCCCTTTAATGGAGCCCTTATGGTCCCTAATAGTAGGTATTTGGGGTATAATAGAGGGTAGTTGGGGGGTCTAGGTAAGGATCCCTGAAAAGGTGGGTTCTTTAGGCTCTAAGTTTAGGGCCCCAAACTCTGAGCCCTAAACCCTCAAGCGTGTTAGGCTTACCCATAGGCCCTAAAGTAGTTCCTTTTTGGGTACATATATAGAATCCTATAAGGTAAGCCCAAAAAGGAATTACTATGGGGCCTATGGGTAGAGAGGTCGTGGATTATGTGTGTGTGTGCATTTATGGTTAGATTGAAAGAAGGGGGCTGTCTCTCGTACGGTGTTTGGTCCTTTCGGTAGCCTCCTCAGAACCTCGACCAGCTTGAGGGTTTAGGGACTTAGGGGTGTGTGGTGTCGAGCTCATTATTAGGGTTTAGGGTTTAGGGTTTAGGGTTTAGGGTTGAGCTCATTATTAGGGTTTAGGGTTTAGGGTTTGTCTTCAGCCTATGAAGGTACGTGCCATGGGCAACGGGCGGCACGGCCAATATAGGTCTTGCGCGACTTGGCAGACACGCGCGGTCAGGGATTGGTGGATGCTGATCCCTAAACCCCCTATGCCCACCCTAAACCTTAAACCCGACTTCGTAAGTCGATCCTAAACTTGGATTGTTGGATGCTGATCCCTAAACCCCATGCCCACCCTGAACCTTAAATCCAACTTCCTAAGTCGATCCTAAACTAAACCTATGGACCTATCGAAACTGTGAATTACGGAGTCTCATTTTCGAGCCTTTGCTCCCATACCCGCGACGCCAGAAAGCAAATGTGGACCTGGTAGTGCGATCTGAAAACTCTACCCTTAATCCTAAGCGCCCTAATCCCTATACACTCTAAACCCTAAACCGTTGGGTTCGGGCTTCGTTGTAGGTGTGTTAGATGCTCGGTTTCGGGTTCAGGGCCTTGAGCTTAGGGTTTGAAGCGCGGTTGAGATCTGGGTTTTAGGATTCGCTTTATGTGCCATGTGAGCCTCTTTCTCTCTTTGTGCCACCCTTCAGCGGACACAATGATTCCTCGTGGTTTAGGGTTTGGGGTTTGGCTAGTTATTATAGAGTTTTTGGCAGGAATTCTTGGATAAGCAGCCAAGCAAGGTACCTAGAGTGGAGGTCTGGGTAAGGTCCAATCCAAAGTTTCCGCGCTCATACTTCGGGTTTGGTTTAGGGTTTGGGGTTCAAGGTGCAGGAGCATGCCTGTAAGCAGACGAACATGCACACAAGTACGGTCAGACTGAACATGGTGCCCAAGCTCTTCAGCTATAGTAGCAAAGCATGCTAGCAAACGGCCAAACCTCCCGCTTCTGACCCAGGTTTGTAAACTTTGAAGAACACTGGCACTGCCGCCAATTTCTTCAGTGTCTTCGATCGGCGCCAAATCAAAGGCGTTTGTTGCAGCTCCTTCGATGCGTTTGAGGGTGTCGCCTGATTCTTGTTCCATTCTTGCAGCCATAACAGCCTTCAACCGTGCTAAACTGCTAAACCTAATTAGTCCTGACGAGTGAAAAGTCAAGGCAGAGTGGAGAAATAGGACCACTGAGAATCAACTCTTCGAACCCGAAACCCCAAACCCTAAACCTTAATCCCTGACCGCTAAGCCCTAATCCCTAAACCCTATCACCCAGAGGGTCCGAGTACCCAAATAGTAAGGTTTTAGGTCCGAAAACCCATACTCTGCATGGTTTTTGGACCTTGAAACCCTACTATTTGTGTACTTGGACCCTTAGGGGTTAAGGTTTAGGGTTTAGGGTTTAGGGGTTTAGGGGTTTAGGGGTTTAGGGGTTTAGGGTTTAGGGTTTAAATCCCTGTACCCTACGCAAACCCTGTCAGAGTGTTGGCTGGTGGAGGTCATCTTCAGGTCCTAGCCTCCGAGGTCTCCTCTCTTCTTTTGAAAGGATGGGCCCTTAGGCCTTTCTAGGGACCCTTAAGGGTACGTATAGGGTATATAGTAGGTATATAAGGATCCCACCCTTAAGGGCCTATACTAGGGCCCATGGTTTCAACCTGAGAAAGTTTCCAGCCGTTTATAGGGTCCTTTAAGGGTTCCTCTTTTAAGGGGTCTTTAAGGGAGTCTTGTTGAGGCTCTACCAGGCTTCTAGAAGGGTGCTATAGGGTTTTGGGGGCTTGGAAATAGAGTCTAGATCTAAGGTTAGAAGTCTGGGCCCCTGATATGGGCCCTTAGGCCTTTCTAGGGACCTTTAAGGGTACATCTAGGGTATATAGTAGGTGTAACCCTAAACCCTAAACCCTAAACCCTAAACCCTAAACCTACTATATAATATAGTAGGTTTCTCAGGATCCCAGGGTTAAGAGCCCATACATCCGGATCTTCTGGCATCCTGAATAAGAAAGTTTCGTGTCACGTGTTCCGTAGATCCTGAACCGTACCCTACCTTAAGAACCCAAAACCTACCTTTTTTGTAGGGTCCCTATAAATCTCATATTAGGGTTTATAATAAGAACCTACAAAAACGTGGGTTTTGGGTTCTTAAGGTAAACCCTATGTATGTATGTATGTATGTATGTATGTATGTATGTATGTATGTATGTATACGTTTGTACACATGTTATTGCTATGTTTACTCATTTTTCTGTACATACCCCGGACTAGTACCCCATTCCTTGAACAGCTCTACAATTATTAGGATCAGGGGCTTGAGGTTTAGGGCTTGAGGCCCATGCAATTATTGTAACCGCAAGGGCCCACAGCACCCAGTCAGTAGATATTTGGGCTTAGGATGGTAGTTAGTTCTGTAACGCAGTGCTTTGAGTAGTGCATGAGAGAAGAGTGGGTACTTGAACCTGTAGGGAAAGAGATCCTGCTTTCTCCGACCCAGGTGGGGTGTGCGCTCAGTCGGTCAATCCATGATCCAGGGGCGCGGTCACTTCGCTGTCATTTTGCCGGGGTTGCCTTCAGAGGATGAAGGGGCTGAATAAGTAAAGTTGCAAGTAAGGTACTCCTTAAAATATAATTTGCTTACACCCCTAATGCTGTTGATGATATAAATCTTGCATTGCCCTAAACTCCGGGAATTATAGTACAGTCCGAAGTACGGGTAATGCAGGGTTTATATCATCGACAGTAGTATGACCCTACTTGCGAAGTCGCCTTATCCATTGAGTAGCTCATTTTGGATGTCAATCTGTCTGGTGCTTAGTAGGGAATGGGGGAATGGGTTATGGGGACTACTACAAGGGACCTTAAGGGACTATCATGTGGATCCATTCCCCCATTCCCTACTAAGCACCAGACAGTAATGATACGCCGACTATATACCCTATATGTACCCTTTTGGGGGTCCCTAGAAAGGCCTATAAGGGCCCATATTAGGGGCCCAGACTTCTAACCTTGGATTAATATTAATGGGTGTTGCTCAAAGCTCCTCGAGCACTGAAGCCTAAGCCAGGCGAGCCCGAGCCCCAGGTGGTGCAGGAAAGCAGACCTCCAGGGTTTAGGGTTTAGGGTTTAGGGTTTAGGGTGGTCCATGTACCGAAGAAGTATATACTTAGTCCTTAAAGTAGTCCTTATATAGGGGCGAAGTATATACTAGTTGGGCACATGGATCCTTAGGAAGATTGAATTGAACCAACTTACCGAACCCCAACCCCATAAACCCTAAAACCTTAAACCCTACACCCTATAACCCTATCAGCATTACACGTCTTCATCTTAAGGTATACTCCTTGACCCCCAACTAACCTACTTTTTTGAGGACTTTTACAAGAAAACCGAGGTTGTACCCTCTACGTAGGAGGTCATAACCTAATATTTTGCAGGGTTTCCGGCGAAAGGATGAGGGTTATGGCAACCCCTAAACCCTAAGCCCTAAACCCCTGTAAGCCCCAAATTCTTGAACTTAAGACATATGCCTTAAGTGTATGCTCCGGGACCCGATCGCGAGACCAAACCCTCCAGCTGTAGGAGGTGGCCTTAAGCCTAAAACTGAGAAGAGGGTTGAGGGCTTAGGGTTCAGAATTTATAAGGTTAAGGGCTTATAAGTTTAGGGCTTAGTTTTGTGTGCTTAGGCTGAAGACTCGGAAGAGGGTTTTGTGGATGGGATTGTTCCAAAGCTTTTTTCATAGGGAACAAGTTTTTGAGCTGTGTAAGAATACATTTAAGCCAAGTAGACGTCAAAACCCTGTTCTACTTCTTCGCCCCCCTAAACCCTAAACCCTAAACCCTAAACCGTCGTCTTTGGGAAGCAGCTGAGGTGGCAATTTAGAGGCTATTTGCCAGAAGAGGGGCCTCGCCGGGATGACGGACCGGGTAGACACAAGGGGTCGGAATAATTCCTAGCCTTTTCAAGGGTTTCGTTAAGTTTAGAATAATTCCTGGCCTTTTAAGGGTTTCTTTAAGTTTAGGTGTTTCGACGAGTTTACTTGTTTTTTTTGTTTCTGAGGGTTTCGGAATGCCTTCTTAATTTATAAACAGCCCAATTTACCCCACAAGTCCAGTCTGATTAGTAAGGTCCCTGAAGGAATCGGCTTCAGGGATCCGGGTCTGAACATCATAGCAGACCGGCCGGGTCTCGTCGTACCCTAGGCCACAAGCCGTGAGCCCTAGCAGCCTTAGGATCCTTTTGGTTTAGGTTTTAGGGTTTAGGGTTTAGGGTTTAGGGTTTAGGGTTTAGGGTTTAGGGCGTTTAGGGTTTGCACTTGTCAGATCGGTAAAATTTGCCCGGCGGGTCAACTGGGGAACTGGTTGCAGCTAGCTTGCTTGAAAGGCCTAGCTCAGAACTCCAAAAGTGAAGCCAAAACACTAGACCAGACTAACTTCATAAAACCTTTCGAGGCTGGTTTAACAAAGCATGAAAAATTCTCTTTCCGGCATCTAGAAGATGTTGAAAGTAGCCTGGGACCTTACACTTTGATTGTATGAGGTAGTGGCCCTTATGTCCAAACAAGCCCCAGGCAAGGAGTCCACAAAACAGCCCATGGGACGTACTGTAGTATCCATAGTCATAACATAAACCCGAAACCCTAAACCCCTTTAAACCCTAAACCCTAAACAAAGTCTATAAAGATATGATTGCTTGTAAGCCCCAGCTAAACTGCCCATAGCCTTACTTACTAAGTCCCATGTTCCTTGAGGTACCCCCTCCCAAAAGCTAGGCGTCATCTGCAAAGCCGGCTGAACCCCAAACCCTGAACCCTAAACCCTAAACCCTAAACCCAAGATATTTTTCCAGGCAAGCCCGGAAAGCCGGCAGTCAGCACTGTAATATAGGGGCCTTAATAATTAGAAAAGGCTTCTGGACTTCTTTAGAGTATAATCCATAATAAGGAACACCAAGAATAATCTTGGTAATTATTTAGGCTTCTATATCAGAGAGCAATGAAGATTAACTTTGAATCCTAAACCCTAAACCCCAAACCTCTAAACCCTAAACCCCTAAACCCTATAATCCGGCTTCAGGGAGCAGCCCCGAGCTCAAGAAGAAGCTGGCAGAGCGGGAAGCGGAACTGTCGACCTTGCGAAACCCAAAGGCTCCATGTACCTTTACGGTAGATATTTAAGCCCTAAAGTACCTAAATAGGGACCACTCTAAGGTTTAAGTAACTACTATAAATTATAAAGGTACATGGAGACTTTGGGAAAGGACAAGGCGATCACAAACTGCCCCGAAGGGTCCTATTTGGGTACTTAAAACCATAAATGAGGACTACTTGGACCCTTAGGGTGCGCGTTGAAGGGCCTGCGGATGAACGCCACGCGCTGGGAGGCAGAAGTGAAGAGACTGAAAGGCGGAATTCGTTGATGCCGGCGCCTTGGGAACCCTAAACCCTAAACCCTACAAACATGTGATCCGGAGAAATAAAATGTGCAACATAACTCCAGTAGCGGGATACTGCGCCTAAGCGGCTAACACAAGTTTCACGCATTCCCGTCTATTCGCCACTTGCAGTCCTACGATACCTACAGCTGGAGATCTTGTTATATGTAAGCTCTGAGAATCCGCAAACTAGATTGGCAAGCCTCCGCCGCATGCGTTTAGCTCCAAACCCAAATCCCTAAACCCTTCAACCCTCACCTCAAGGGTCCAGAGTACCACATAGTTCAGCGTTTGGGTTCAGGATAGTAGTGGTGCAGCTCAGTGTTGTGATGGCTCTCAGAAAATGCCAAGACTTATACTTACCGAACCAATCGTAATACCGTAATACCTTCCTTAACGGCTCAATGGACCCAATAATGAGGTACTTTGGTTGCGGATAGTAGTTATGCAGGTTAATTTTCGGGAGAGTATATGATGCTTACCCTAAACCCTAAACCCTGAAATTCTTAGGTCCTTGAAGCCCTATGGGCTTCCTTAGAAGAAACCCTGTAACATAGGGGCCTTAATCATACTTACCTATACTTTTTCTTTTTTTTGTTAGGGGGGGGGTCCTTATTATAATTTTAGTATACTGTGCCCCAGCACCCTTTTCTACTATTTAAGGCCCCGACAGAGGAAAGCCAGTGTAACTTCGGGAAGCCGAGTACACCCTAGACTCCTACGCCGAACCCTTCAGGGTTTAGGGTTTAGGGTTTAGGGTTTAGGGTTTAGGGTTTAGGGTTTAGGGTTTAGGGTTTAGAAGGAATCTAGGTTCCCCAGTAGTACACTTTAGCACTTTTTCTTTATTGGGGCTCCCTTAATGCAACCAAATATAGTAGGACAAAGGGTACCCTTCTTCTTCTTATTATTGTTCTTATTATTATCACTATTATATGACATCACCGCTCTTTGACACTCGAGGTACCCATACTGTTTAGGGGCTCCTGGGAAACGGAGGGAATTCCAAGCATTTCTGCCTGGAGGACGAGGATGCCCCTCTCGTCTTCCACCAAGGCAGCTTGCGGTTTTGAAACTTTTGGGTGTTGAAGGTTTTGGGGTTTTTCGTGCGTTAGAGTTTGATTTTCAGGCTACGGGTGGGGAGGTGGGTTGGGTGTTGAAGGTTTTTGGTTTTTTAGGGCTTTAGAGTTTAGGTTTTAAGGCTAGGGGTGGGGAGGTCAGTTGGGTGTTTAAGGGATTTGAGGCTTTGGGGCTTTAGAGAATAGTGTTAAGGCTAGGGGTGGGGAGGTCGGGATTCAGGGATTGTGGGAGTTTTTGGTGGTATAGGGTTTGGGGTGTTAGGGGTTCTGGGTTTTTAGGGTTTCGGGTATCAGGTTTAGGGTGTAGTCTAGGACATTTTCAGGTGGGTAGCTACCGTTATGGGAGCCTTATAGAAGGTCTATATACCTTATAGAAGCCTGATAGAAGCCCTATGTACCCTAAACTCCCCACCTGTAGTTTCCGGTAACTTAAGTTCAGAATGTTTTATTGAGGAGGGGG